TGGGACCTCAGGGGAGAGTTGGGGCCACTGTGCCAGCGCTGAGGCCCCCCCACCCTTTTACATAGATTCCAGTGCTCCTGTCTGAGTGCAGATATGAAAGAGGTGACTCATTATTGTAAAAAGTAGAGACATAAACCTGATGTGAGGGGTCCTCCCCCAGGGTGCAAACTAGAACTGGGGTACCACTGATCTCCCTGCCTTACCAGTCTGGGTTCCCTCTCACACAGTGACATTGTGACAAGCTGCAAACCCCTCCAAGCTTGCACTCTCACCAACATCCACAGGCAGGGACCATACCCAGCTGTGTTCACGAATGCTCTGGCCAGTCAGTGCATGAACCAACAATAGAGAGGCTCCAGACATAATACCCGCAGCCTATGACCCCAGAGCTGTACTGTCCTGCTATGGTCAGAAGCTCAACCAGTATGAATTTATTACTCAGTCCGCCCCTCTCTTGATGTGGAGAGGACATGCACAAAGCCTTTGTTAACTGAGCTGATATTTTTCACTTCACTCAAACCACACTGTTTTAGGTAAAGAATATAATAGATTTATTAACTACATAAAGATAGATTTTAAGTGATAAGTGATAGCAAACAGATCAAAGAGGATTACTTAAGAAATAAACAAAACACAATCTAAATCTTATGCACTACACAGGATTTGAATCAAACAGGGTCTGACCCTGTTAGATAGTAAAATCAGTTTGTCGATGTTTTATACACAGGCAGGAATCCTCTCTACCAACCTGGGGCGAGCACTGCCGTCAGTTCAGTCGTTGTTTCTAAAGTGTTTCCAGGTGTTGAGTGAGGCCGATTGGTGAAGTCACTTCCCCCTTTTATAGTTTCTTCCCTATGGAGGGAACACCTTTGTTCCAAGCCAAGTTGCCAGCCGAGTTTGTGGAAAAATATAGGTACCAAAATGGAGTTCAGTATCATATGGTCTAGTCACATGCCCTTGCATGCTTCACTGAGTCATAGCAGCCGTTATTCATAGGCAGACTGAAGCACTCCCCGGTAAGGTGGGGGACAAGCTTCTCGTGAGGCCCATTGTTTTCCTTAATGGCCCATTATCTTGAATAGACTCTTCACAATTGGCTGTCTAGACTGGAAGCATCTTGGTTTGTGGGTGTCAGCCAGGTGCAACCACATTTGAAATACAGATACATAGTCAGTATTCATAACTCCAGATACAAAAATGGTACATGCATACAAGTAGGATAATTATATTCAGCAAATCATAACTTTTCCAGTGACACCTCACATGACACAGAATTATGTCATCATATCATTAATCATACTACTATGATGACTATGGGGTGCAGAGTGTCACACCTAGGACTAAAAGAAAAAGAACAGTTTCTAGCTGCTTGCATCTACACCACACAAAGGCCAACAAACAGCTTAACGTCTTCATGAGTGGACACAGGCTAGACCATGACTCAGTCTGTGTATCTAGCTGTTACACTGGACCGTAACTTGAGTTTTCAAGCAAAACCTGCTAAGATCACACTGTAAATGAAAGACAAGAAACAACCTGATCAGCAAACTAGCTGGTTCCTGGGGAGGCAATGAAGAAACTCTGGGCTTGCCTTGTGCTATTCTGTAATAGTGTTGCTCCCTGGTGTGGCTTAGCTCTTCTCACATGGGATTGGTAGACACTCAGTTAAATGGAACCAAGTGTTTAATAACAGATACCATGAAACTGACTGACCTGTCCTGGCTTCCAGTCATGTTCAGCCTCAACCCTCCTGACATGGGGCAATAAGTCGCTTTGCAGAATATGCACTGTAAGGTGCGCCACTTCTACCCTTGTTTAAAGATGTGTTTAGTCAACCAAGCCCACAGTCACAGCTCACACACATCCTGTTTGGACAGTTCCCCTAAGAATCTTGATATCCTCTTCGGGTGGCATACTAGGTGACAGGCATGTTTGAAACTTGTTCTTATCTCATGAACGATCCAACAGTCCAGCCCCCTGGTTTTGACCTTCCACATTATCTCTGGGTCAAACTCAATCACTTCAGATGTAGAGTAATCAGATGTGCTGCTAATGACTGTAAGTGGGGTCCTTGTGACTTCCCCTTTGCTTCTGTGGCCAGTTAAAAGATGTAAGTCACATTTGTAGCCTGCATCCATTAACAAGGACTGCTTGGACTTCATCATAGACTTGCATAATGCTCTTCTCTCAGCTGTTGAATGGTTAAGACACTTAGACTAACACAGTTGACTTGATCGTCTACATAAATGCAATCACAATGTGTACACATATATGTAACACACTCTAAATTCTCATTTATACCAGATGGTGGAGATTTGAGTTTGTAATGTGCATTTGTTTGAGTGCTGTAGTGCAGCAATATGGTGACATTTGCAACTATGAAACGCTTGCTCTGGGCTTGTGGCTCCTTGTCCAATGTTTATGCTAGTGGCATTTTCAGTATGAAAGCTGTATCCTGACTTGGCTATAAACCCTGTGTGATACAGAAAGTTCATCTTCTAAATGTGATCTTTCTAGTGAAAAGGCCCTGGCAATAGCCTGTAGAGCTTTGCCTAAAAGTCCCGCTGTTTTTACTTAATCTCTTTATCATTTAAAATAAACAGGTATGGTGACCTTCACTCACTGCAGCAATCAGGAGCAATAAAATTTTTATTAGAAGATCGCTTGCCACCCAGTTTCCTTATTTACAGCACTGTAGAAAATGATTGCTGCTTTTTATCCCTAGCCATGCCGGGCAATCTGTCACATCTGGTTACTGTTGTTTACTATTCCCCTGGCATGTTTTGAGATATGGAAAGTCAGTGCTTAGGAAAAAGCTGCTATTGTAACACACCAAAATACAAAGGGCCAGATTCTTGCCCCCCTCTCCAGCTTTTTTTGTGCTGCTGTAGGGGCATGAAGGGGCCAGAAAGCCAGTATGAGCAGCCAGCTGGGGATTTTTGCAAGGTGAGGGGAATCCTGGGTAGCAAAGAGCCAGCATAATGGAATTCTACGTTACCACTGTGACAATCTATGTCCAGACACCCCAGGGGGAAAACAGAAGGTTTGAACCTCCAAAATGAGCAGTTGGAACCAACTGGTTACATACTGTATAGTTGTACTATAAAAGTGAATTGAGTGGGGTCTTTTTTGAAAGCTTGTCATGTTCTGGACTTGGTCACTATGAGCTATGTATACAGACTGTGGTTATGAATCTAGGTGTTTAAGTACAGAGAAAACTGTGCTCCTGATCGGTACTGCAGTTTTATCATCGCCTCACAATGGGGCGGAGGAGCAGCCAAGATGGGAGAGAACCCAAGCCAGTTCTTTACCCAAAACCAGTCTCAAGTGGCGATGAATTGTCCAGCCTAGGAAACGACAATAGTAGACCATTAATGTTAATGGAAAGACATTGATACAATTGGGTATTTCCCCACTTTGTATAGCAGTAGTGACTGAAAGGGAAAAAAACCTGCCAACCCTTTTAAAATGGAAGGGGTTTGAAGCAGGGGTAGTCAACTATTTTTTTTTGTCAAAGTCCAAATTTCTTGGTCAAGGTATAGTCAAGGTCCAGACTCCAGAGAAAATAATACCAGTAAAGATAATACTAAGTAAATAAAAAGATTTTTTGGGTCCAAAAGCATCTGACTGTCCAGATTTTGCCCATGGTCCGTCTATTGACCACCCCTGATCTGAAGTGAAATCCATCTTGAATTTGAAGGATAGCCTCAAAGGCAGGAGGCTGTCTGTCAACGCTGGATTCCCCACTATGGCTAGGGACATGCTGGGAAACTTTTCAAAGAGAAAAGGTAACTTATTCTAGAAAAGAGATTTTATCGAATGTGGAAGTGCAAAGCCTGAAGGTGTCTTTGTATATTTTCTGTGGAACTTGTCTATGTTTGCTTTTCCTTACTATTTTATCTTTAAATCTGTGGTTTTTCTGTTAAATACACCTTTTACCCCTAGTGGGTCTCTGTTGTGCAAACGATGTGACATGTGAGTGCAACAGTGAACTGATAACTGGGGGGCTAGTTTCATGCCTTTGGGGTGACAAACCAGAGGGGAACAGTCCTAGTGTCTGGTACTTCAGAATTTGGGGAGGACAGTTTGGGGAGACTTGGGACTTGAAGGCTGTTGGTATCACCCTGCAAGGAGTAACTAGGTTGATGGAGGTCAGGGTATGGCCTTGTGCTTGTGGGCAGGCTGCTGGTGTCATATCTGAGCCATAGCAGGACAGCATTAAGACACCCCAAAGTGACTGGGTAGGCAGTCGCAGAACCCCTTACTGCTCTGGGTGAACCCCAAAATATCACAACCACCTTCTGTGCCTCTGCACTGACAATGTAATTTGGAGAAAGGGAATGTGGCTGGAGTGCTGAACCAGTCCATCATGGGCGGCATGTGAACCCCCAGTTTGGGGAGGCTAGTCCCCTGCCCCACCCCTTCTGCCCAAGGCCCCGCTCCTTTGGTCTGAGGTCCTGCCCCCACTCCACCCCCTGCTCTTGCCCTCTGGGGCCAGAGGAGCCCCAAGCCCCCAACGTGGCTGGGGTTGTAGTGGGGAGCATTAGCAGAGGTTTGAGGTGGCTTAGCCTCCCCCAGCCTCCATTACGTGCCACCCATGCAGCCCGTTAGGACTCTGAAGCTGTTCTACACTGTTCCAGGACCAGGGTTGGTGCAGAATTGACTCTCTGTCTCCAGTGTAGAAACCGCTCTTTTGCGGCTCTTCTTTTAACACACATCCCTCCCCCAACTTTTCCTAGCTGTAGCTAGCACTTATTGGGCACAGTTGGAGATTGAGCTCAGAAGCTTTTGAGTTTACTCTGAAACAAGACTCCAGCTTGTGATATTAATGGTTTAGCAAATGAATAATCTCATTGTATATCGACAAAGGTATTTCAAAAGTGTTTTTGAAATACAGTTGTTGATGTGTTGATTGCTATTGTTATGTGTTCAAGTTGTGAGCTGTCAAGGAATTATGAAATATTTTTATCCTATGACATTTTATATTAATCTCTCCATAGGGGAAGCCTGTGGGAACGCCAGATGCTGGTGCTTACTTCCGTGTGCTAGCAGAGCATGGAGTGGCTGCCTTTTTTACTGCACCAACTGCAATTAGAGCAATCCGTCAGCAGGACCCTGAGGCAGATTTGGGAAAGCAGTACTGTTTGACAAGGTGAACTAAGGATAAATTGGAAATCGTTTGTTATAGAAATAAACTTGATAGACTGAGGAGAGTATAATGTCTAGAGCTTTGAACACTTAAGCAGTAGAACATAAATATATAAAATACCAACTGTATTTTATTTATATATGTGTAAATGTATATAGAGCATGTGTGAAAGTGTGTGTGTGTTTATATAATAATCTACATATATTACACAAAATCTACATTAAAATAATATTAAGGTTGCAAAGTTAGGCACTCAAAAAAATAAGGAATGCCTCAAAGTTGCCTGTGCAACCTCCTGGTCTTTATTTATGTCATCACATACTGTTTTTTCCAGAAGACCCTGGCATCATTTAGTGCACAGCATGGACAGTGCTCACTTAATGAGCAGCTATTCAGTGTGTTGTTTTGTCCTTGTGTTCATTGTGTTGTCCTAGGCCTTATTTACTCCACACTATTCAAAGCCTGCTCTAAAGACAGAATTATTAATTTCCCCATGGGCTTTTCTGTGGTGCTCATTAGTATAGCGTTTGTGATTCATGCAGATGCTAAGTATCTTCACATGATCTCTGTGCAGTGAGGAGGTGATACTTTTCCCATTTTACAGTTGGGGAGCTAAGATACAGAGAGATTAAAGTCAAAAGTTTACCCTAATTTTGGGTGCACAATCTGAGCAACCTGAAACCTGATTTTTCAGCATTCTTAGCATTATATGGAGCTCTCATGTTCAAAGTACAGCTTGCACTGAATTCAGTTGCAGCTGTGAGTGCGCAGAACTTCTTCAAATTGAAGTCTCAAGTTGGGCACCCAGAAATTAAGGAAAACACAGTTATGACCACCTGTGAAAACTTTGTTTTACGTAACTTGCCTAACACCATATAGGAACTCTGTGGCAGAGGCAGGGATGGAATCTAGTTCTCCAGAAAAACATTAACCATGCCTTAACCATGAGACTTTCCTTTCTCTTCCTCCAATCCTCTTCCTCATTCACTTATAGGTAAGGCTAAGACTTTGTTGTGGTTATTTTTAGCAAAAGTCATGGACAGGCAATAAAAAAAAAAAATTCACAGAAGCCGTGACCTGCCTGTGACTTTTGCTGCTGCGGCTCCCTGGTTTCTCACACCACCGTGGTGGCTGGGAGCTGTGGGGCCCGTTCCCCCTCAGCAGCTGGAAGCTGCAGCCCCCCCCCCCCCACTCATAGCGGTTGGGAGCTGCAAGGTGACCATATTTCCCAAAGAGAAAACAGGACACTCCCAGCCTCTCACCTGAGGCATCCCTCTTCCCCTCCCATGTTCCCCCCCCCCCATTATCCGCACAAGGCTGTCGCCCATCACTGGAACCCCGAGGAGGGCCCCCTCAGGAGTCTGTCACCTGTTGCTGTAACCTTGCAGGGGGCCCCCTGTTGCCTGTCGCTCCTGTCCCTGGAACCCTGCCAGGGCCCCACTGGCTGCCAGCTCCAGAGTCCCACAGCCCCGGGGCCGAAGCAGAAAATATCACAGATTCCGTGACTTCCAAGACCTCTGTGACATAAACGTAGCCTTACTTATAGGTAACCTTCCAACTTCTGCAACCAATGAAGCAGGGGTCCTACTGACAAGTTTCCTTTACTACACAGCCTTGATTGATCCCTAGAGAGCACAGTCCATCTTGTGCACTTAGTGAAGCAGGGCTCCTATGAAAAAATTCGCAAAAAGAAAAGGAGTACTTGTGGCACCTTAGAGACTAACCAATTTATTTGAGCATAAGCTTTTGTGAGCTAGAGCTCACTTCATCGGATGCATACTGTGGAAACTGCAGAAGACATTATATACACAGAGACCATGAAACAATACCTCCTCCCACCCCACTCTCCTGCTGGTAATAGCTTATCTAAAGTGATCACTCTCCTTACAATGTGTATGATAATCAAGTTGGGCCATTTCCAGCACAAATCCAGGTTTTCTCACCCTCCCCCCCCCCCCCCAACTCATTCTCCTGCTGGTAATAGCCCATCCAAAGTGACCACTCTCCCTACAATGTGCATGATAATCAAGGTGGGCCATTTCCAGCACAAATCCAGGTTTTCTCACCCCCGCCCCCCCCCATACACACACAAACTCACTCTCCTGCTGGCAATAGCTCATCCAAACTGACCACTCTCCTTACAATGTGTATGATAATCAAGGTGGGCCATTTCCAGCATAAATCCAAGTTAAACCAGAACATCGGGGGGGGGAGGTAGGAAAAAACAAGGGGAAATAGGCTACCTTGCATAATGACTTAGCCACTCCCAGTCTCTATTTAAGCCTAAATTAATAGTATCCAATTTGCAAATGAATTCCAATTCAGCAGTTTCTCGCTGGAGTCTGGATTTGAAGTCTTTTTGTTTTAAGATAGCGACCTTCATGTCTGTAATTGCGTGACCAGAGAGATTGAAGTGTTCTCCGACTGGTTTATGAATGTTATAATTCTTGACATCTGATTTGTGTCCATTTATTCTTTTATGTAGAGACTGTCCAGTTTGACCAATGTACATGACAGAGGGGCATTGCTGGCACATGATGACATATATCACATTGGTGGATGTGCAGGTGAACGAGCCTCTGATAGTGTGGCTGATGTTATTAGGCCCTGTGATGGTGTCCCCTGAATAGATATGTGGGCACAGTTGGCAACGGGCTTTGTTGCAAGGATAGGTTCCTGGGTTAGTGGTTCTGTTGTGTGGTATGTGGTTGTTGGTGAGTATTTGCTTCAAGTTGGGGGGGCTGTCTGTAGGCAAGGACTGGCCTGTCTCCCAGGATTTGAGAGAGTGTTGGGTCATCCTTCAGGATAGGTTGTAGATCCTTAATAATGCGTTGGAGGGGTTTTAGTTGGGGGCTGAAGGTGACGGCTAGTGGCGTTCTGTTATTTTCTTTGTTAGGCCTGTCCTGTAGTAGGTGACTTCTGGGAACTCTTCTGGCTCTATCAATCTGTTTCTTCACTTCCGCAGGTGGGTATTGTAGTGGTAAGAATGCTTGATAGAGATCTTGTAGGTGTTTGTCTCTGTCTGAGGGGTTGGAGCAAATGCGGTTGTATCACAGAGCTTGGCTGTAGACGATGGATAGTGTGGTGTGGTCAGGGTGAAAGCTGGAGGCATGTAGGTAGGAATAGCGGTCAGTAGGTTTCTGGTATAGGGTGGTGTTTATGTGACCATTGTTTATTAGCACTGTAGTGTCCAGGAAGTGGATCTCTTGTGTGGACTGGACCAGGCTGAGGTTGATGGTGGGATGGAAATTGTTGAAATCATGGTGGAATTCCTCAAGGGCTTCTTTTCCATGGGTCTAGATGATGAAGATGTCATCAATATAGCGTAAGTAGAGTAGGGGCGAACATCAGCCACACTATCAGAGGCTCGTTCACCTACACATCCACCAATGTGATATATGCCATCATGTGCCAGCAATGCCCCTCTGTCATGTACATTGGTCAAACTGGACAGTCTCTACGTAAAAGAATAAATGGACACAAATCAGATGTCAAGAATTATAACATTCATAAACCAGTCGGAGAACACTTCAATCTCTCTGGTCACGCAATTACAGACATGAAGGTCGCTATCTTAAAACAAAAAGACTTCAAATCCAGACTCCAGCGAGAAACTGCTGAATTGGAATTCATTTGCAAATTGGATACTATTAATTTAGGCTTAAATAGAGACTGGGAGTGGCTAAGTCATTATGCAAGGTAGCCTATTTCCCCTTGTTTTTTCCTACCTCCCCCCCCCGATGTTCTGGTTTAACTTGGATTTATGCTGGAAATGGCCCACCTTGATTATCATACACATTGTAAGGAGAGTGGTCAGTTTGGATGAGCTATTGCCAGCAGGAGAGTGAGTTTGTGTGTGTATGGGGGGGGCGGGGGTGAGAAAACCTGGATTTGTGCTGGAAATGGCCCACCTTGATTATCATGCACATTGTAGGGAGAGTGGTCACTTTGGATGAACTATTACCAGCAGGAGAGTGAGTTTGTGTGTGTGTGTTTTGCGGGGGGGGGGGTGAGAAAACCTGGATTTGTGCTGGAAATGGTCCAACTTGATTATCATGCACATTGTAGGGAGAGTGGTCACTTTGGATGAACTATTACCAGCAGGAGAGTGAGTTTGTGTGTGTATGGGGGTGGGGGTGGGGGGTGAGAAAACCTGGATTTGTGCTGGAAATGGCCCACCTTGATTATTATACACATTGTAGAGAGAGTGGTCACTTTGGATGGGCTATTACCAGCAGGAGAGTGGGGTGGGAGGAGGTATTGTTTCATGGTCTCTGTGTATATAATGTCTTCTGCAGTTTCCACAGTATGCATCCGATGAAGTGAGCTCTAGCTCACGAAAGCTTATGCTCAAATAAATTGGCTAGTCTCTAAGGTGCCACAAGTACTCCTTTTCTTTTTGCGAATACAGACTAACACGGCTGTTACTCTGAAACCTATGAAAAAGTTTCAGAGTATGTGATCATGTAATTAAAGATTGTATCATAATGCATACGCACAAGAGGGCAAATTAAGGTTATTTATGCAACCTTAATTCTGGTATTTCCTAACCGTCCCAGTCCTGTCTCCTCACCCTTGACTCCTTGTCCCAGTTGCATTCTCCTTGCTTTTCAACTCTCTATTCCTCAGACTTCTGATCCCAGTCCTAATCTTCCACTCTGTGCTCATGTTTGAATACCAATCTACTCCAGTCCCAGAATTCCATTCCCTCATCCAATTTCAGTCTCCTCGCTCAGCCAGTCCTAGTGTCCTCCTTCCAGCTACTCATCCTAACTCTCTCTCTCCTTCCTCCCTCAACTGACTCCCAGTCTCCCTCACAAGACTCCTCCCATTTCTCTGTATGCATCCTAGTTCCTTGTCAGCTTTCTCTTCCATCCACTGGTTCCTAGTCCCAGTCTCCTTACCCACTACTTGCAATCTCCCTGTTGTCCAGCTCCTCATGTGATCTGTGTCCCCAGTCCCAGTGTCCTTGCCCAGCAAGTTCCAGCCTCACTGCTCAGCCA